AATACCAATATCCTATTCTAATGGTGGCATCTTTTCAGTCTGCAGGTATAAGTACTGAAAATGCTTTTGCATTGTTATGTATCCATTATTAATTTCAATATCTCAAACAACAGATACATTGTCATGACCACCATATGTAGATGTATATTATTGCAACCAATTATAACTATTTACCAAAGTATCAAAGGATTCTTATACACGAGAGCTTATCCTTTCGAAGACATACTGTTGAATGGAGGTATTTATTGCAGGCAGACCCTCCAGATGAGCAGAAAATTCCTGTTGTTGATGCACTTGGAGTGACGGTGGTACTCCTTACATGTTCCTATAGACGGCAAGAATTTGTGCGTGTTGGATACTTTATTAACAATGACTACACAGAACCAGAGGTCAAAGAAAATCCTCCAGCACAACCACAATTTGATAAGGTCAGCATTAGAGGCATGTTCTTATACTTGAAAAGAATTTATTTATATTCCATAGATCTTTCATCGTAAGTTATAAGTGAAGGTCTGCTTTTCAGTTTGCATGCCACGTGTCCCTAGTTTATCAACGGTCATACAGTAGTTTCAGTATGAAAATAACATAATGACGATGAAATACTTCCATTCAGGTAACTGTTCACGCAAACATAATTTGTAATGGTATCGCTGTTAAAAGATAGTTGAAAAGTTGGTATACTATAACCGTTTTCTACCTCTACCAGAAATTTGTAGATCTAAAAGTTGCATAAAATCACCATAATTTTGAAGGTAATGAAAATATTAATTGTTTACATTCGCATCATACACATCTCTTTGAATGTTTATATAAAACATTACTGAGAAAAACAGTGTGTAAAATGAAAATGAACTAAACCCTTTTCCGACATCACAAATGGCACATGAAATAGAAATATTTGCTGTCATTAAGTTCAAAATAATTCCATCTTATAGCCCAAGACGATGGTACGAGTTGCATCAAGTTGAATGACGTTACTTTACAGGTTTTCCGCAATATTCTGGCTTCAGAACCCAGAGTGACCAGGTTCAAAATTAACTGGGATGATACAGACACGATGCATCAGTCAACAGATGACACTACACATAATATAGAAGAAGAACTTGTTTCTTCTAACGGTGCAGTGGGCTTCAGTGAAAATAGTAGTCATAGTGCAATGGAGGTGATGTGAACCTGTGCAAGATTTGGTATCGATTGTGTTCAGCGATGCGAGTTTGTCCCACTTCCATCTGATATTGTAGTGGCCCAGCTCTTATAAAATGTATTTCTTCTTAGAATCAAAGCTGTGAAGTACAAACCATTACATTTTTTACTGATCTAGGTCATTCAATCACCTGATACCAGTTACAGACGCCGCAGTTTGAACGTGCTCTATACATTTGATTTTCTGGCTACCAAGAATATTATTCTAGAGTGAGGCTAGGTAATGTCAGGTAAATCTTCCTCCATTGGTATTACAGCTTCACAGTGCTTGATACCAGAAAATTAATTTGTTAAAAGCTCACAAAGTCATATGGGAATGTTAGTGTACGGGAAGAGAATAACAGACGCTTTAGCAAGTCGTGTCTAGCAAAAAGTATGAAAAATTATGTTTACACACTGCAAATGTACAAGGACAGGAAGTGAGATCTCTTAATGCATGCCTTAGTATGTTTAAATTTATAAACTGCAGAATGTTCTTACAACAAACTGTTGAATTTCCAATATCCTAGTTCATCTGTTCGGTACTGCAAAGACATGGGATCGTACTTTTAATTCTGCTTCACGAAGAGACCTTATCACAGCTGTTCACAGGTACTGTCCTGTTCATCTGATGGATCAGTTACATTAAACACTTCGTACGTGATCACATCTTAGAAATCGTGAAGTAACTTCATTTTTATAATCTCCACTTGTTTTGTGAATGTAGTTGTGATTTTGAACAATTTTTTAGTTCTTTGAGTTGTATCTTATATTATTTAAGAGTATCAATTTGGTATTTTTCCGCAATTTAAGGCATTTAAAATGCTTCCTGGATTTACAGTAATAAGCAACAAAATTGTTACATGAAATGATAGATGTTAAATTTATTGAATATCTTACCACATTAAAATTTCATTTCTTTTATTTATTTATGTTACAGTATGCATGAGATTGTCTGGTGTGTAAAATTGCCTTCTGTGAAGGTATATATATATGAAGGGTTTGACCTACCTGTATCAGTTAAGTACTGACACGTGTTGAAATATCTCTGTTATTTGAATCTTATGCAATTATGTATCAAATCAGACATGAAGAATTAGATTGAAATGATTCTGAAGTATTTTGTGCCATATTTGAAACTAAAGTTATGTTACTGTATATTTAAAATTAAATACAATTTTTTTTATAATTTAAAAATTACACTGCTCCAGTAATTCTTATTTTCATATACAGAAATTAAAAGTTGTCCAGTGGTTAAAATATGCATTGCAAATGTTAATATTTGTGAAAAAGAATGTAATTTTTTATGTTAAATTATAATTCTGAAAGTAACCAGAATAATCTTCTCTGTTTAAAGGAACATCACGATATGTTAAATAATACATAACCTTCTTTTGTTAAAAATTATGCTTTGAAAGCTAGGATGAGTGTATACAAAACAAGAATAAAATATCAGTTCTTCTATTTGCATTGTTATTGGGGCACCCATATATTGTAAGAATGAGCAGTAAAACTTTAGAAAGAAAAGTGTGACTTCTTGTACAAAATATTAGTACGCCTGTACTGGCCATGAATAGTATCAACATTATGTTCCTGAAAAAAATGTAACATTTTGTGATTGCATAGCTGAAATAGGTATGGATACGCTTAACCCTTTGAAGGCTGCTTGAAGAATGTAAACTTAAGAGGAATTTTAGCAATTAACACACACCTTGAAGTAGATTATTCAACTACAAACGAATCTCAAAGGAAGTCACAGAAGAACTCAGTGGCCTTGAGCGCAGGGCTAACAACCCAGCCTTGTAAAAAAGAATAAAGTTTATAATAATTTAATGAAAGGTCAAATTATAGTGAATTCCTCCAGAACTGTTAAGCTATGCACACATTACCTCACTTTATTCCTGTAGGAATTGCATCGGGTACCAAGTACCAGTTTGCTTCAGGAGTATGGAATCCTTTTCCAATGATTCAGTTAAGTAAATGGGTTCATACAGTTCGTATGTTACAATAGTAACTGAACATACATTCCTTGTCAGTAATTCCAGTTGAGTGCAGAAATTTGACCCAGATCAGATACTGGATGAAAATCTCAATTCATCTTTTAAAACTTGCGAGACTTCAAAATAACCCAAAGAGAGACTGTCCTTAAAATGTTCACTGTATTATATTTTTTCTGTGGAATTATACACAGATATAACAAACTTTACAGTATCAAACATAACTCTTTCTCACTTAATTATAAACAGTTAACAAAGCTTTGGCAATTATTCTGGGAATAATAACATATCAGGACCCCTTCTAGTTATATATATATATATTTTTTGTAAATCCAGAATTAAACAGTTATGAATGTACAGTACTTCAAAATTCTTTTCATTCAGCTGTAAACATGAAACAACAGATATAATACTTATCAACTTCCTAAAAACTATCAAGCACACACTACACACATTCCTTCCTCATGTAAAGTATGAGATGACCTGAAGACAGTGTAAACACAAATGAAAATAATTATATCAAATAATAATTAATGCCCTTGAGTCTAGTATACTTACAAGAGTGAAGACAGTGGTTTATCAAGTGACTGCAAATTTATTCCCATTTCAAAGACGTTTGGTCACTTGATATAAAGTCAGGTTAACAAGTAAAATAAGTTTAAAAATGGACACTGTCTTGTGTATAGTACAAGTCTGTGCAATATATAATTTTTTACATCATATCAAAAGAATTCTGCATCTCTGTTCACATGTAATAAAATAGAAGGCCACCACTTTCATTTCATTCATGAACCTCACGATACATAATTATGACTACCAATTCTTTAAAAAAAAAAGTGATTGACATTACCCTGCCTGTATACAGTGAATATTATCCGTCCCACGTCGGTCTTCGTTATAAAAAATTAATTTTTAAAAGTCATACTAATTGTTTATAGTCACTTTATACAGCTTAACCTTTATTATCTGTCTGACGCGTGATCTAGACGGCCAAGCATCAGAGTAGAATACCACTAAACTGTTAACTCTGGAGCTGATGTCTGTTAGGCAACTCTATAGTACAAAAATTTAAATCCGTTTCCAGGTGGTGCAGGTTAATTAATGTCTTCTTCAGTTCCATGACAACTACAATTGAACATACAAAATCATGATTCATCTTCTAGTAAACCTGAAAGCCTAGGAAGTTATTTACTGAACTAGTTTCATGATTACAGATACTACAAGATCCAGTATCTGTTATTACTGACAGTCATATTCTTTTTTTATATCGATGGATACTATATTTACATTGAAATGTGTATGCAAAGGGGGTTCTTGACAACTCCCTATAAAGTTATCTGCTTATATTATACAAGGCAAAAGGGACTGTTCCATTTATGAAATTTTAATGTCCCACTTCAAGTAAGAAGCAATAGTGTAATCGTCTGAGTGACATAAATGGTAGTCTTAAGTCATGGAACATACTCTTGACATCTGGGGTCACTTCAGCAGTTATCAGTCCTAAACGATGGACCTGGTCTCTTCAGTGTCTTGAAAAAGGTAGAGAGATGTCTAGGGCAAATCGACTGTGGTCTGGTGGGCTGTGGTATTTACCATTTTAGAGGAATAAACTGCCTAAATGTTCAGGTTTGAAGTGATTGAAGGGGATGCATTCCTCCAACTCTGATAACCACTCGAAGACTACGTGGTGTCACAACCCAGAAGGCCATAGTCGACATCACCAACACCTTGAGAATCTAAACTCTCATGTCGAAGCAACTACAGTGGACAGTGTCCAACTGCTGGACAGCCACCTTTTCTGTCCTTGGAAAATTCAGTTCATTGAGAAAGATTTTTTGAATAATAAGGTCCTCTGCTCACCTTTTCTAGTAACGTGGCAAAACTGGCCCATGAAAACTGTTGGAAATGGTTTCATCACTGAAATACACTTCATGGTGATGCAAGTTCTGAGACGCATCTCGATATTCTTTCTTCATGATTTCTGGAATGAGTGTTAATTCTTTTCCTAAGGCCTCTAACGAGTATGGATTATTTTTGTAAGCATTCTACTTTAAATAAATAACATACACAAATTTAAATCTGGGGAATGTGACGGCCAGTCTTCTACCGAATACTTATTCATGAGAAATACTACGCACAATACACGGAATTTTTGTCACGTGTGCTCTTGAATATGTAGACCCTACATTAACATAACTCCTTTAGTCAGCAATTTAAATAACTGCAAAATTGTTACATAAGAGTGAAATGTATCTAAAGTTTGGAGAATGGAACATTCTATGGCTGCTCTGAAGACTAAGATACTTCGATGTCTGTAAGAGAGCCAATATTTTCCTTCCTTCATAACATAAAATTTTCACTGCATGCTCCATAGGTGTAATGTAAATATTGGGGAAAAATATATATTAGCAGCATCAGTTTCCCAAACATTATCTTACCTACTTGCACAAGTTTCTGAAATGCTGACCTTGTACAGCCAAGCAGAGAACTAGTACTAGCAGGATACATTAAAATTTTCTCATGAAAAGACCGCAGAACAATTCTTTTTTTGGTACCATACGTTTGTACAATCAAAATGCCTTTTAGAACGCTGACAAATTTGTATTGCCCTTCACATTCAGTATATTTTGTTTTAAGAGTAAAATTTGGAAACGTATTTTGGGACACTCTCAGACAAGAAACAGTACAAGTTTCAGATTACGACGACAAATTGCGTATCCACATAACAATTATGCAACCCCAGAAACTAGATGTAAAATTTTTAAAATTAAACTTCAGAACAGTGTTTCAAAAAAATGGGCAAATGTGAATGAAAACATTCAGACATCATTTTTTTTACATGTATTCACAGTTATTAATCCATATAATATTTTGGTATCATTGCAATAACGTTCATGTAATACTTTACATTTACGTATGGCCACTCAAATTTAAATTTTAAAGTTCTGATAAATTTGAACATTTCAACTCTATTGGCTTAACGACATTCTGCGTAGGCTGCAACAAAACAACACAGGAGAAAGAAAGTAGAACCCAAAACCTGAATGGTCATATGTATGCCTATTTTCTTCCATCATAACAAATCTACGAAGATCACATAAATTATACGAGTAACTTTTTACTCAGAATAAACAATTCCAAAAATAATTTCTATACAAGCTGACATTTTTAACACGATCCCTTCAATTATAGCAAAACTCATCTGAACATTTTTTTAAAATTTACCTTCATGTCATTGAACAGCCCCAGTTTTGGAAAATGATCACTTATTATTAATTTTGGATAATCCATCTAGCAAACAATAAATATAACGGGACACCTTAGTGTTCTTCCAGGAAAGTAGAACATGGTGCTCAAAGACTAGTGGAACAATAAAAATATGTTGGTGACACAATTCGCCAACTACAGTGATAAACGGAAAATATCAACATTTCCTTGACGCCGTGCAGACAAAAAGTAGTAGGAACTGCCTTAAGTGTACAGCGTATCAGTCGTCGTGACTATCCAGTCAATCGCACGAAGCTCGCTTCTCAGAAAATTTGACACGTTTAATTTCAGGGATTATGGACTATATACTTTTACACAAATATGTAACCTTCACTTCTCCTAGGCAAAGGGAAAATGGTAAGTGTTTGGGTGGCTCTTGACATGTCAAAACCAAAGGCACATTTAACAAAGACTGCCCAAACTTTCCAGCTGCTCCTCAGAGAAACTTGTGGTTTCTACATTAAACTGACTGGTTCACAGAAAGAAGTCTCAATAAGACTACACTCAGAGCTAAAGCATTTTGCACCTGGAATTGAAGATAACCATTAAAACGCAATTGACAGCATAACCTAACCAAAGCAGAAATAACAGTAACACACATTTGAGTTTGCTCTGTATTCCATGGCTTTCAAACAAATTGAAACAATACAAATGATCCTTCAAGTAATTCACAAACTAATTACCTCATCATACGGACCCAACACATTCTCATCATCACTGTCCAGTAACATAATTACTTAATATTTATACATATTATAATAATCGATGGAATGAAACTTTATAAAACATAACAAAATACAATATTAACAAACTCACTTTGTTCAATCAATAGTCATGAGCCTGTATAAAACTACACGAGGCCACAACTGCAATTTCAAGTACTTAAGGGATATGTATAAATATTAAAGGAAGAAGTTACGCAAATAAAGAAGAAATACATGAAATCAGGAACAGATTTAGGACAAATTGTTCTTTGAGCTGAGATGTCAAACGTAGTAGTTTGCTGAAATGTATTCAGAAAGAAATAATTTGCAAAATCACACCATGGAAAGTATATAATTAATAAGAACACCTTATTAAACAGAAAAAGTAGTGGAGATCAGAAAAAAGATCAGTAATTTAACAAGAACATCTAATTATACAGAGAATACGATTCAGTTCAGTCAATTTTGTTATAAAATAAAAAAAACAAAATACAGTCAAATTTAAATATAATTATTTAACAGTATCGTGAAGGACCACACTTTCTCAAATGGTGACAACTAAAGGAAGAAAATTCTGCAACAGTAATTAAATACCCCAGAAATGATGCAGCAGTACATAAATTCTTATGAGTGTCCTTTTCCACTCAGACCTCACAACCACCTACCATCCCAGAATCACAAAAATATGCCTCAGCCTTGTATCCTTACTCAGTTGGCACATTCCACAGAATATTTTAACCCCAAAACAATGTCAGTCTATTACAACATAAGGCAATATATGTAAAAATTCTCCCTGATAGGACCTCTTCGACACTGTCTCATGCCACTCACGGAAATTATCACTGTCATCACAACTTGCACCTTCGTTCACATTTCCGTTTACGTTTTCTATATGCTCGGTATGAAACTTCCTAATAACCTCTTCTGTTACTTCCTTCGCAACGGGAGGTTCAGAATCTGTACCGTCAGTCACGGACTCATCCCAACATATTGCGTCTACATCAACGGGAGGAAGAATATCTTCGACAGTTTGATCATGAATGTTCGTCACTATACCACTGGCACTTTGCGAGTCTTTAGACGATGAGAACTGCTGGAGGATGTCCTTCGACAGTTTTGAAAATGAAGACACTTCGGCTGGAGACGAATTGTAATTATCCCCACCACTACTGCCAGGAAGACCCCTCAAATGTTTCTGTAACCTCAGATCTTCCATTTCAGCAAGAGGTACAATGGAAGGATCTTCTTGAATCGGATGAAGCTCTGACTGCGATTGGAGGAACTTCGCGATGTGTTCGGTCTTGTTCCTCGATATCTCTAAGGCATCTGTGGGGGTTCCCCGACTCATAAGAATGCATTTTGCAAGACTAGGTTTGTTTTCAGATAAAAGTACATTTAAATTACCTAATTTATCTTCAGGAAGGGTTCCACTAGCACCACCAGTCTTGGCTTGTACACTAGCAACCAATTCCTGTGTAGTTTTCACTTTGGGTGTCCGGACTTTAGATGCTATTTTCTCCTTCAGAATATCACCCACAGATATGGCCTGTGTTACAGAAGCACTAGCGGACACGCGTCTCAACTTTGTAGTTCTTTTCCGACGTGTCTTAGCAGGAGGAACGGGAGTGGTACTGCAGCCAGTTATAGTATCAGTAGCTGAAGAAACAGCTGTTGTTACTACAGTAGTACCAACAAAAATATTAGTAGCTGAAGTACTGTGTGTAGAAGTTGTATCAGTAACAACAGAAGTTGAACAAATGCTAGACCAAGTAAAGGGATCTGTAGCAGCTGTTGACGTAACAGTAGTAGCCATAGTTGTGGTAGTAGCTGTCGTCGTGGCTGTTGTAACAGCAGCACACGTCATCCCAAAAACCATATCCATAACAGGCACTTTGTTGTGTAATGGTATTACCTCACAACTACTAGAGCCCTGGCTCATACCGCTTATGCTGTCTCGGCTACCATCGCCATGGATCTCAGATTGCGATGGCACGCAAGACTTCATAAAATCAAACCCCTTGACCACTTGACCATTCGGCCGACTAAATTTTTTAGCTGACACGTCCTGTGAAGGTTCTTTCCGGAGTCTCTTATTTGACGCGTGCGTTCTGGGCACAGAGTCCATATTTACTAAAATGCTAGGACGACAATGATACCCCAGATGATCAGAGTTTGATGAAACATTAGGAAGTTTCACTTGGGGGGCCAGAGGGTGCAATTTTGGACTCGAAATTGAACGCGAAATGGAGGAAGACTCTTTAAAATGGTGACTGGGGTTCAAAAATAAATCACCTGTAACAAAAGGCTTAACTGGAGAGCGGGGATAACCTGGTATAAAATTTGTTGTTGCATCCCCAGCTGCAGCCGACGAAGGCGAGTAACACCGACCCGCAGTGCTGCCAAACTGGGGGAGAGCAGGACTCACATTTGAACGGAGTCCTGGACTTACTTGATGCAACAAGAGATTTGTCCCATTTGTCTGATGAACTGCTGAGGGAATGTGAGAACATACTGTAGAAACCCCAGCTGTGTTGTTCTCCTGAATCATGACACGCCATCTTCGTACCAGATCCTTCGCTCGTCTCGCAAGCAGTTCATTTGTCGTCTTGCGACGCAGTTCATTGACATACTTTCCAAGACGAGTAGTCTAGGAACAACAATATTATTTTAATTACATTTGTAAAAATAAAAAGTATTCTGCACCGTAAACAATTCTACCCTTGGTTTTGCCTAATGCTGCAGAATGCCACAGCTAATGTTAAGATTTAAAGAACATACAGTAGGAGAGTATAAAGCAAAGTTTTTGCAGCAACTGAAGCTGATGAAAGACTCTCAGGTTACAAGCTGCGTCAGGTGGCTGAATGGTGAATAAACCACATCTTCTACGGCTTGTAACCCGAGAGTCTTCCATCAAATACAGTAAGAGTGTTTGGAAAAGACTTAATCTTAGGAAATGATGGATTGAGCCCCACAAACCCCACAGACTTCTTTACCATTCAAGAAACAGAAGAAAGAAGAATAACATGTTTTTCAACATCCTCTTATCTGCAGATTTATTTTAATAATGATAAGCTCACGCTTATGGGGAATTGGGAAGGAAATTTAAGCCTGAAAATAGAACCATAAATTGTGCTCTACTTTATTTCACTGTTATTATTCTCGTATATTATAAAGAAGACTAAACTAGAAACAGAGACCTTAAGTCATAGCATTCTACAACAAACAAAATTTGCAGCAGAACTGCTTGATAAATCATGTTCTGCTTAAGATTTGCCACAGCATTTGCGGCACTGGCTTCTTGACAGTATTTTCCAAGTGTTGAACGTTTCTCGTATAAATTCACCGACTGTCTACAATCACACTGATAACAAAACTGTGAAGTATGATTTGACAAGAACCATTAACACTGGACCTAATGACATTCCTAATCTTTGAACAAATCACCAGACATTTGATTCCTCCTGAAAAAGACTGATTAGGAAGGCTATTTGTTGAACTCAAGGTATGTTACTGGAAGAATTGGGTGATGTCATACTATCAGACACGCACCAGATAATTGTCACTGGCACCATTTGCAAAGGTCAAATATCAAATTGCAGCAAACATGCCTAAATTATTACACTACATGTACATTGTAATTCGTTAAATTGAAGCTTACCTCAAGTGCTTCCTTTGTGATGACAGTTCTTTCCAAGATGGCAATGATCTCAACCACTGTAGCCATGTCCACAACCTGTTATCAAAATAAGACAAGTAAGAATATTTTGGAAACTTTACTAAACAAAATAACAAAATGAAAATGTACTGGCAATATTTCAGTACCTTTTTTTTATATAATTATCACCCTCATAACAATAACTCATATCTCCAAGAAACTTAACGGAAGTTTAAAGGCTAGCTACTGGATGGCATCACAATCTCATTTTCTCAGCTTTGAGGACATAGGAAAGGTTTTCTTGAGGCATAGTATGTGAAAGTATTAATGGATATAATAACACATAATAAGCATATTTTTGTTTAAAATTGTATTTACGTTCTTGTTCCATACATATCCTGTGGTTTCTGTTTTGACGTTGGGTTCTGCCGATAATTTTATGACCACAAGAAATTTGAGTTAAAAGAAGAGATGAATACCACTTTAGAAACAAGGAGCTGCTTTAGAAGTAGTTTCGTACCTAACCTGCAAAAACTAAAGTACATTCATTTGCTCATGTTTATATATATTGGTCCATCAATGACCAGTTTATACTAAGGCAGGTAGCAACTACTATGCCCTGGCAAATCTGAATTTGGCAATTCAAAAAATGCAGTTTCCTTACATGATACTTTTAATTTTCGTAGATTACATAGCTTATATGATGAAAAAACAACAACAAAATTTAAAGACTGTATAATTATCATAGTTTTTAAATATAAAACATAAATTATATTGGAAATTTTGTATCCATTACTTGATAATGAATCAAACAGGTCATATAGCATTACAGGACAAAATTGCCCATGATAAAGTGGAAAATATGTGGAAGTGGTCAAGGCATATTCTAGGGCTCTATCCCAATATTTTCCCTGAGAATGAGGAAAAAATTGAGCAAGAGCAGATTAATTTGAAAAATACTTGCTGCTATCCAGTTCACAATCACTAATGTTTCCATGTCCTCTTTCAAAACCTAGATATTAAAGAAATGAACTATAATTTTACTTTATGTATTAAATGGGTGTGAAACTTGATTTTCAGAACAATACAACAGTCCCAAGGAAAATATTTGAACCTAGAAAAACAGGAAGATGATCACACAATGAGGGACATCCCAATTTCCACTCTTCACACATTTCTAGGATAATTACAAAATGGAAGATGTGCAAGACATATGGCACACATGGGCAGAAATTAAGGAATTACATCAAAAAGATATGCTACTGAAAGCAAATCTGATGCCACGTCAAAGACACGATTTCCACTTCAATACTGGGGGCATGTTCTTCTAATGGTAGTGCTCAATATTTCCTGTTCAATATTAGAGCTAACTCTACTTCATTCGTTACGAAAATTAAGGGAGTTAAAAGGGTGATTTCTAATGACAACAATGTTCCCAGTAACATTTTATTCTCTTCCCTCAGTGAATAATACATTTCAAACAATGAAATCAAAGATCCTGTAATGTAAGCTTAAAATTCTGCCATATTCAAAGACAACTTCTGTGGAAAAGCTTATTACTGCAAAGTAGCAATGAAACTGCAAAACACTTTTTTATTACAAATAAAATCAGTAATGATCAGGTACTTTTAATTATACACGTAATGGTACCCTTGATACTGTTATTGTTTTGGGATACGTGAACCTAATGAGTGACGACAAAATGTTTTATATAGCTGAAAGGACCTCATGGTTTGTCCATCATAATCATGTGTACTGGACATATTGCTATTGGAAGACTTTGACATAATTTATTGAACTCCTAAGCTGCAACTGTGTTTAAACCTGCATATAAATAGGCAATTAAAGCTACTTCTTATAATAACAGAGTTCCCTATGTAAAAGTCCATATGCAATACTCATTTACTTAAAACTGAGAAACCCATAAAACATATCCATTGTTCATTTCTTATATAGTTGAGTCTGTTGTTAGTTAAAAAGTAAAAATGAACTTTTGGCAGGAAATTTCAAAATGTTAATCCACAATACTGTAGCACTTTCTAACATATCTAACAAAAATTTGCAGTGCTCATTAGTTTACTTTACTGCTTTAATAAAAAAAATGGGAATTAATCTAATTAAATAACTCTTCCAACCTTTCAAGAGGTACTGTTAACTACTCTCCTGGAAAAAAATGCAAAATGTTGACAAGTTGCCTGCCCTAACCTCAAACTGACCATATAAGTTATCTGAATTCAGTTGGCCACGCACACAACAAAATATAAATAGTTATAAATATAAACTGGACAAATCTCGGTTCAAAGGGACTGGAAAAGTATAATATAAGTCTAAAATATGCAAATAGCACACAATTTCTGTAAGGGCATATGGGATGTTCCACATGAATGCGCATTTTCGTGTACTAATTCTATCACTAATACAGCTCTATTCTCTTATGAAAGAAATTTTTAAAATTAAAGTGATTTTAAATTTACGTAACGCTTTTAAGCGTATATACTGAACAACACTTGGACGGAACAGAAAAAAATTTCAAAATAATAATTGAAAACTATGTTGCAAGAATCGCCCGATAACCGGAACCTATGAAACAGAACACTGCGCGTGCGCTGTGCCGCGTAAGTGAGGTGGGCCAGGGGTAAGACGTCTTCTTCGAGCTCCGCCAGCCCAATTTTCACACACAAATTTATAGGTTTCTTCACTAGTTCGGTGTTAATCCTTGGTTTCAGCGGAATCTGTGCACATTTTTGGTGTCGACGGTCGGGATCTTTAGTCAGAAAAGGGTATACTTGTAATTTTATCAAGTGAGAAACTTGCACCTGAAGTTGGGATAGACACGCCACTTTCACAGTGCATTTCGACGATTCGTAACTTGCGTCCGATTTTTTGCCGATTTCGGTGTCAGATTTATTGCAAATCTTACTTAAGAGCCTTACATTGTATTCCTTGTCGAGTGCCTTTAGTAACTTTTCCTTGATCTCCGAAGGAGAGTGCTGCATGAGGCCGTACTGGGTCTCGGACTGAACAGCTCCGCAACCAACGTACAGCCACCAGCACTTATGGCGGACATGTACTATTGTGGAATTCTGGGAGCGTAATATAAATTCGCGACAACTTCCGAGCCCTTCCGAATATGACGTCACAATAACCGAAAACCGATCGTCTTTTCCTTTTGAGTATCGCATAATTTTAAATTATCCATTTATTCTAGAAAGCAAGAGAGATAATATTATTAAAACTTCAGATTATGCATTTCCTTCACGTTTTGAGTATTACAGAACCATTTTACTTGTAAATCATATTTACATGGTCACTAAACATAACGAAAAATTTGTATGTGAGGGGGAAACAGGCGTTTAGTAAGGTGTTACCAACCATAAATGAGCTGCCAACTGCCACACAGGTCTACAGTTCGTGATATTATGCAAACAAAAACTACGACGAAATTTACAATTGACCCTGTAATTAACCAATCCTAAGACATATCTGCCGAAATCATAATTCACCATAACGTATGTCCTCATTTAATATTATTTTTCTACCCTCTTATGCCCTAATCTGAGTTATAATGATAATGGTTTTGTTCCCATTCATATGCCCACACCAGCGTGCCCCTAAGAAATCCTAATTTTCTATTGTTATTTCCGTTACGTAGACACAGTGTGAATACATAATTCCGTTTTCGTTCTCTCAGGTTTGGAAATTTTCGTATGTTAGAAAAGACTGGTAGAACTGGAAAGTAGATTATAAAATGCTCCGTATAATTATTGTCGCCAACTGACTACGTATATGGAGCACAATCCCAGAACAAAAAAGTCGCTCAGGTGGTCTTGCCATTTGAAGTTTCACTATATCAACAAGGGTCCACCCTTGGGCCCTGTCCTGAGTCAGGTAAATCCCATCCACAACCTTATACCCTGTTTCTGAAGATTCATTTTAATACACCCTTTGCATCAGTTTTATGACAGTCAAATATCCTTAGCCTACCCACTATTTATAAATAAACAACTTTTCATATATGTTTGTTATTTATTTCATATATATTTTCTTATGACATCTTTTATGCTAATAAATCAAATAACACTACTTATACCTAATTCTGTGACATTAAATATTCATTATTGTGTTCAATGGTGAATACTTTGGTCTGGTCTGGCTAGTAATGCACTGCCATACCACAGAAACTGGAGTAATGTAAAATAAATGTTTTACTTTTTAACACAATAGTAGCATACCTTAGCCTTGTGGTGTGATTTATAATATTTCATTTCTGTACGACCTGGCTTTTAGAACAGGATTTCATACTGCCAGCCACTGAACCTTATCCCCAGCCAGATGAATGTAGTCTACAACCCGATCCATCTTAATACCACTTTCATGATTAAATAATGTTCTTAGATTGAATCCTTGTTTCAACGTGTTTGACCATGGAATGAAACTTTACTTTGCCAGCTGATTTAAATTTCCAACATGGATCAAGGGAGATTCTATGGAAACAAATTCTTAGTCAGTGTTAAGTGTGTGATATTTTTCAGGATTTCCATGGAAGCCTTGCCAATGAACTACAATACACCATCATACTACAAACATTTGTAAAAAGTGTATGATCTAAAACTCACAGCATCACATACCTTGATAATGGGGACACAGATGGTCCCTGAAACATCAGTGAGTGTTCACTATTTGACATGGCTGGTAACCTTAGAGGACTTTAAGTATATTAATTATAAAACTGAAAAAATTGATGCAGAAATAAATGTAGATAAAAGGACTTACTTGACCATGTCCAGACAGACAAAATCTTTGTAACCGGTGTATTTTATATCAAATTAAATGCTTATATAATAATTATTGTTTCAAACAAAGCATATTTCTGGGTAAAAGGACCTTTGTAAACATTGACAAAATTAAAGAAAAACACTTTTTTAACTGTTAAAAACAGTAATCTTATGTTAAGCATAGACAAAGTCTGCAGTAAGATTTGCTCCAATCTATTTATAATTAAGGCAGTGTGTGAATTTATGGTTAAGTGTACCCATTCCTTTTATATGTTATGTTTTTGGGCAGCCCTAAGAAGCACTGAATACCAGACTAATAAGTATACAAAAAAGGGTAGTCAGTTTGTATTCCTATAGCAAACTGATTCCTGCAAGCTGACCTTATACTCTTTAATACATACAAGAAACAAATTCATTTGGAAAATAAGTACAGGTATGTCCAATTATAAAGTACATATTTATAAAACTAAAATTAGCTCGGAACTACCATAAACGCAATGTCAACTGTGTATTCCAACGTGTAAATAAATGAATGATGTGGATTTGTAGGACTTATAATTGAACGATTATATGATGAAATTTCTCATTTGTGGAAATATTTCGTGTGCCGCTTATAGTAGACGACAAAATTTACTTTCATGTCGTAATTGAGGAGGATCCATGTAATGCGTAAAAGCGATTAAAAATTTATAATATAGCACTTATTACATACAGCACGTAGTACAAATAGTACGTATATTTGAATAAGCGTGCATTCTGGCGGTAGAAGCTGTCATCTGTAGACATTGTAACTTGCTTACGAAATAGGGCGCATTATCTTTAGAATTGACATATATATAAGTTTGTTGCATAAGTAAAAATGGCGAGTCGCATTGTTGCTTCTGCTGCCGTGAAAGCAGTAAAAGGAAGACGGCCTATACAGTCTAGGGCTGCTTTAGTTTTGGTGTGTTAAATGAACATAAAGTAAAGTGTTTCTTTTGCATAATGTCTGAATCTAACCTAACTTTTTTTTTTCATATGTATGTTGTGCGGTGACTGGGATTACTTTATTTTTCAGACACCTGCAGCTGTTAACAAAATAAAAGAGATCTTAGCTCAGAATGCGAACTGTGTAAGTATGAAGAATTTTGTTTGCATCGTATTAAGCAGATTTGGTTGGACTGTAAACATAACCCTAACTGTTGGAATCTCAGGTTAATGAAGACAAATACTTTGCATTTATTTGAATTACTCGTCATCAGTACATGTGTCAACATTGCTACATAAATGGGAGAGAAAATTAATTAATCCATTTACATTTTGGAGGGTGTAGCAAGGCAATGTTTATCAACATGATCTGGTATAATGTCAGTTTGAGGTGAAGTCTTTCCAGTGAAGACTGATGTGATATTGTAATGGTAGGTTGGGTCTGTTGTACATCATACATGCAATCAATTGTTAGAATCCAGAGAATAATGTGTTTAATTTGTCACTTTAACACCACATCCAATAATGTACTGCACTGAGTTGAACCTTAGCCTCTAGAATAGGAGCTCAAGGTCAGTTATTGTGTTTGATAATATTCATAGCCATTCTTCACATTGATTTTGTGTATGATTTTAAAAGAAAATATTGCTTTGTTGACTTCAGCCTTGTTATTTAGATTTTACTGAAACTTATTTTCATATTTCAGATTGGACTCAAAGTTGGGGTCCGTCAAAGAGGATGTAATGGCCTCAGCTACACATTAGACTATGCAGTAGAAAAAGGGAAATTAGATGAAGAGGTGGTTCAAGATGGTAATTTTACATTTTGTAAAGACATCAGAGCTCCAGTAATAAGGCACCGCATTTTATCATGTAACACATTTGTATTTCATTATAGGAGTTCGGGTTATCATCGACAGGAAGGCCCAGCTGACGCTCCTGGGCACAGAGATGGATTATGTGGAAACAAAACTGTCGTCTGAATTTGTTTTCAATAACCCAAATATTAAAGGAACATGCGGCTGTGGTGAAAGCTTTTCAGTTTGACAGTAATGCACAACAAATTAGTTAATTTGTAAATTATTGTTTGCTAGTTTCCACTTTGCTGTAAATGCACCAAGACGCACCGAAAAGTGACTCTTTGTAAACGCTTCAGTGATTTCGTAACAGATAGTAATCTAATGATATATAGGGCATGTCGTGCTCGTAATAAATTAAGTTTAGAATGGTGGTCACAATGCGTGGAAAGTTTGAACCATTTTTCTACTCGACTACTGTTCGTTGTGTTGCCAAAGAATTCGCAGATTTTAATTTTAATTTTGTGCTCAAATTATAGACAGGCTCGTTACAAAAGAGGTAAATGTAGTTTATGTCTCGTAAGTATTGGGGCTATGCAGAAAGTTAAAATTTTTCTCTTTATTTAGGTTTGGATCGAGAAGATTAAACAAGAATGTCAATTGTCTCGGTTCGTCTTTGCTCATACAAAACTCCACCCCACGTCAACAAATGTCCACGAGACTTAATATTTGTGGCATGAAACATTACATATTTATACGTGCTGATGAAATTTAGTGTTGACGCAATTAGCGAAAGTTCAAAATCTTTTCGGATTATCATATTCTCGAATTAGGGTTATCATATTATTTTAATAAAGTTAATTTAGAGATAAGTTCAGAAACGTATGCCCATAAGCGTTTTCAGCATAAAGTGCGTAGTACAAATATTGTAATATTATATATTTATTTTGCATACAGATATGATAAGACAGTACATTGGCATTAACACATTGCATATCGGTCTTATAAAAATTGAAGTATCCAATTTCTGGAGCATTTAATGCTACTCAAAATCTGAAGCGGCATTTTAAACGAAAACGTGCTATTAATTTTCCACTTTACGGCAGCTTTGTCATCTTGTGAAGTAGTGGAAGATTTTCTGTCCGAGTTTGTGAGTTGTATCTCACAAAATGTAAGCAAGTATTCAGTACAACTCAAAAAACTTGCAGTGATATACACGCATAAACATCTTATTCTTCTTCGGCTCTCTGGTTCGTATTCGGTCTGTGGCCTCCTCAATTCTCCTCTTCCATTCGGTCCTCTGTTATTTCCGTCTGTCTGAGGTTTCGAAACATCTTCCTTTTTACGGTGCAAGGTTGTTAGCCTTGCGACCAACCCCCAACCTGGAGGACCAGGGTACCTGTCTTAGTCTGACCTCTCCCCCTCGACCAATCTGGCTAGGGAGGCCCTACCAGTAACTCTTGGGGTCACTGAGGTACTCAAGCCACATGACCACGACAAGGTGCAGGTACCATTAAGTGGGGCACGCATAAACATGGAGAACTTCATAATAATAAATCATGGCAATCAGTGTGACGATAAGCAGTGTGTTAATGTTGTGACTATATAGGTATCAGCGAATTCAAACTGTTATCATTGCATTGGTTTAATGTATGTTAATGCAGCTGTCAAATGTGTGTGTGTGTTGTATATATTATATTGTACATAAGCTTCCAAGACTGTGTTTTAATTGTACGTAACGAAAACACTTCTGTACGAGAGTTGAGGTTTTCACGGCTGTGAAAATTGCTGACCGGATGAAATATCTCATTACAAATTATATTGATGCTGTACTTTAATTATCGTCCCTTCAATTCTATAATTTTTAATATTTTATATAAAATATTTCTCGATTAATGGGTTTAAACTTGACTCTTCTGCGTTGGTTTTTTTTGATATCACCACCTTTCCTTTTTTGACGAAAATATGTAATTAATTTAACTGTAATACCATTCATTTTAGCAATTTTATTGTTTTTAAGGCTTCATTTCGAAAATTGAGTCTTAAAAAATTTGCAACAATCATATTTTGTTAAATGTGTTCAAAAATTCAAAAAAATATGCAAGTTAATCATTGTCACAGATACAAAAATTCCAGAAGCGCACGAAAGTGTTTTTCTTGCCACCCCTCGCCTTCTCTGATTTAGATTTCCTTTCATCTGTGGACCAGACGGTTCACATGCTCGATGCAAAAGTACAAATCACTGATCCAGAACTGTTTCCTACGTTAATATCTCACTCTTCCATACAAGTATTCACCATGGCCTTCGACGGAACCGCTGTTGCCCCAGACATATTAAAGAAACATCAGAACAGTCCCGTTTGTATCAACTGCATAGGTTGTATATGATGACAGGCTGATTATGAATAATGAAATTAGGACAAAATGGTAGATTTTAACATCGCGATCATCTGTACGGCGGAACTGGAAATACAACGAAAAAAACAACAGCAGTTCGAATTAGAGGCTTCCAGTACATGAATGATGTTTTTTCAAAACACTCATGATACCGGATGGATAAACCTCACGTTACTGGCAAAAATCACCCAATCGCTAAGTTTGATTCCATTGTTGAGCATTATATCAATCGAAAGCGAGAAAAACACCAGTTCGCTGCCGCAGTTCCACATCAACTTGTTCTCACCCAAAAAATAAAATAATAAATCAAAACATGCTGCTTGGTCAGTTTCTTTCTTTTTGAGTCCAATACAGCCTTGAAATGGCGCTGATGATTCCACCTGCAACCCCTCTGAATGGACTGCGCTGTCATATTTTCTGCTCCGTGCGCGAAGGGATGGGAAAATATCGAGCGATGCGCTCAAGAGGTACACACTGACACCTAATGACAAACATCACGCCGTTATCTTTTCACAGTGATACGCATCCAACACAAAACTTTACGGACATTCCAGGTAAGTTCAGCCTTCACGTGCACCATTGCAAGTTATAACACACCATAAAATACAAATTAAACGCAACAATGTAAATTTAACAAGATATGTTCGTGATATCACCCGTTAGTAATAAAAATCAAATCATATGGCCATTAAACAATTCATCAATAACAATGTAGCAACGAAACAAATGAGGAGTGAAAATTATTTCAGCAAAAATACAGACGTAAAGCGGTGAAGACTGGAAAACTATGTATAACACCTCTCTTGGCGACTTAATACACATTTTAGATTATAACAATTAAAAAATAAACTGGTATATCACATTCGCTATTCTTCTACAAACTATCTTCCAACATGGTACTTTATCTTTTAAGGGCTTATAGATGGGCCATTATTATATATAAAAAAAAACACGAATCATGATGAAATCAACCAGGTGTTTGCTTTATCTAATGAACTGCGTATAACAGAGACATGGCCTATCTACAGATGGATGCCTGAACACCGACGAAACACAATAATAATTAACGTAGACGTAACGCACATGTAATAAAACGTAATCGGTGGTAAACTGAAAACTGGTTACAAATATAAATTCGGGGATACTTGTAAAACGCGCTTGGCGAAGAATAGCGTCAGGGGGGGGGGGGACAAAAATTAATCTGGCAAGATGTCTCTGGGTCGGGGATCGATTCCAGGATCTCACGAATAAGAAGCTGGTTTTAGGTACCACAGCGCAAAGTTCAACAGATTTGCATGCAGTTTATTTTACATTTACATTTTTTATTTTACATTATCCTCTTCTGCAGCTTTTGTTAACTCTGTAGAGAAAATATTTAAATTATGGACTCAAACCTGTCTGCAAATATAATGTCAAAATATCGCTAAGTAAATCAGAGGCAGAAACTGCCTTACACAGCATTCAAACTCGATACAAATTAAGAAATTCAAAAATGGATGAATTACCGCAGAGCTGAATTTGCCAGATATACCAAATAACCGAATTTACAATAAATTAATATCGTGTCTTGATTCTCTGTGTTATAGGTGACATAGCTATGTTGGTACGGTAACACTGTCTTAATCCAGAATGGATTACATACGGGAGTTTGACATCCGACTGGATCGGGAAATGTATTATGCCGGCGAAACTCTAGTTGGTCATGTGGTCCTGGACACAATTGAAAATTTCAAACTTCGCGGTAAGTATTCTTTTGCCGTGACTTAACTTTCCGCCTCGAGTGATAAAACTTCCATGCAAATGTATTTTCTTGTCTTCAATCCATACTAAATACTACCAGCTCATAAGAAACATCTGTTATATCGATAAACTGAACAATCTGTCGCGTGTGACAGAAATATAATTTTTATATATTCCTAAATATACTTCTATACCAAGATGTGTAATTTATTCAGACAGTAACCTGTCCTTTCTCAGCAACCGTGGCATATCATGCCACGCAAAGTCAAGATTTACCTCGATACTCTGCCTGCCCCCTCATTATATGGCGCATCTCATCTCTCCTCAGATGACACTAAACCCTGAGAGCACCGCGAGGCTCAGAAATGAACCATCATCATAAAAAAGAAATCGGCGACTTACGTTATAATAAAGTAACGAAGCAACATTCCTTTTGTTTCAGCGGTTAGAGTTGTCTTGCGAGGGAAGGCACATGCAGAGTGGAAGGTGGTTGTCAGCGGAGACAGACGGACTGTTAAAGATGACCAATACTTCATTGACGACAGAGCTATTATCTGGGGAAAAGGTCATATGATTTCAATTCTTATGATAAAATAATATTCAGGTGATGACATCCAGTGAGACTTTATGTAAATTATGCTATTATGCTATGAAGCAAGTTATAGAGTGATAAATTACTCGCGAACCCTCCAGTATGCAGAGGACTTGCCGTTATAATCCTACTTTTGGATGCGAATCACTACTGTGCACAAGGGCGTAATATTCCTTGTCATTGTAACTGTTGTTCTGTGGGGGTCTTTAATTATACAAATTGCGCGACTGTGATTTCAGTTTCTATTCATGATATTAAATTTTTTTGGTATTTAATGTGTGTTGTGTTATTTGAAACATGATATAACAGTTTAGATTTTTTTAATCATGCTGTCAGCATTGAAAAGTATAGTTTGGCAGAGTTATTAAAGAAAATAGTGTTTAGACTCGCGCGGTATTTTAAATCATATGAGAAACTTATACTTCACTGGGGGGTCTGCATTCAGAGGAAAAAATACTAATTAAATTTTCACCCACATAAAATACGAGTCATAAATGAGCTTAAACAGATTATGCATCAATGGGACAACTACGAATGATTTTTTGACGTAAACAAAGCACAAATTCTGTTATATCCTGCTGTTATTCCTTATGACTTTCAAGCCATGTTCATAAATCCTCCTCACATTGAATTTAAATCAAAGTTTTCCAATTTTATTCCAGACAAACCAGAAGGTAACGTACCAATTCTACCTCGTGGTCTCCACCAATTCCCATTTCAATTCCAACTACCAGAGAGTTCTCTCCCTTGTTCATTTGAGAGTAGACCAGGCTTCATACGATATTATATTAAGGTAAGTTATAACGAACTAAATCCATGGTACATTAACGTGTTCGATCATACTTGCTGCTGTATATTCCAAAACATGTCGTTCACATAATGGTCAGAACTGTTCCATTTAATTTTATTGAAATCAAAATCCATGAATAAATTAGTCAGAAACTGATTATATTTAAAATATAATCATGATTCATTATGATACACTGTTCATGCAGGTCACAGTGGATATTCCTTATGCTTCTCCGCCACAGGGCATGAAGTATTTCACCATAATAGGACCTCACATTGACTGTATGGACGAACATTATCTGGTAAGCTTTTGTATTTTTATCAAATATTTTTTAAGATTTTATATATATATCCACATTGGAAAAATTTATAAAATGTGTTATATGCTTAATTATCTTTAAATTACTCATTTCTTTGGATGCCTATGGTAGATTTTTATTTCAGGTTGACTGAAAACCTCTGTCGGCTCGTCTGGAAACAAACTACTCTCATTGCGACATTTATCACTGAAATTAGTTAAAAAAAATACCGTCATTCATTGAAATGATTAGACCAAATTGTAAAGCATATACCTAACAGGAGGAATTATTAGGGAATAATTTATAGCTGAGTTAAATAAATAAGAAGTCAATTTTGTAGAATTTAACTTGGATAAACTGTATATATCAATAAATATTAAACAACAGCTGTTAGAACCTGAATCTTGCATTGGACGTAATCCAGAGTTTATATGCATAGTTCGATTAATATAATTATGAGTTTTAAGAATCTTGTAGAGGTACCATTTGCGAAAATTGTATTTATGTAGCGAATAAATTTGCGTGGCCTGGATTAGTAAACTGAAGGAAGTCACGCACTCTAAGGTACAGAAGTACTTTGCATATACAATGAAAATTGCGGAATATTATATTTTACAGAAACCGATGGTAGGGCAGGACAAACGAACTACATGCTGTCTCTGTTGTGAGAAGGGCCCCGTCGTACTTCGAACACAACTTGAGCGATCGGCTTATGTGTGCGGTGAATCCATAAAACTTCGAGCCAGCATAGACAACCAGGGTGAAGAAGAGGTTAGGCTTAAAGTGAAATTAATTCAGGTGAGTTTAATGAATAAAAGTATTTTGAGCGTCGCCGTATTTGTTGAGATTAAGTAACGAAAAATATTACTTTTACTATTGTTGCCACTGCCATCAAAATCAGTACTGTTGCGTCATTTACAATCAGAGTGTTTTTTGTTCTGACATAAAATAAAAAATTATATTTAATTTTAAAACAATTAGTGAACACTTTTGATTAGTATTAATTATGATTTGTTTTGTCTGATGCAGTATGTGGAATACTTTATTGATAGAGGGGTACTGGGGGTCAACAAAGAAATCCAGCATCTCGTTCTAGAATACAAAGGAGAGGCAGTCGAACCGAACACTCGTTCTAAGTGGGATTCAGCGCACAGCTTGGTTGTACCTGTGATGCCTCCGTCTCTAGTCGGGGTGTGCAGACTGCTACAGATATACTATGTGCTCAAGGCGAGTCACATAATTATTGTGGGATGTAAAAATATAAAATTAACCCAGGATTTGAATGGTGTGAACTTAATGAAATTTAAGTAAAAAAGGCGTATAAACATTGAAAACTATCATAAAGTAACAATACTTGGATTTATAAAGTTTGATTGAAATAATAATAGATTAGTTAATATGGATGGAAGAAATAAAATAAAGTATTTAATTCAAAAGGCAAAAGAGGTTAAACATATGCCTGTAGCAACAATTTCATGTTTATCTGCAATATTGGCAGTATAAAGTGGAACGGCGAAACATCTTCTATTCCGTGCAATGACTCCGTGCACTTAGACTCATTAATGTTCCTGACTTCTAGGTTAATCTGGAGTTTGAAAAATCTGGTGATGACCTCCAAATGCACTTTCCCATTACAATAGCGACAGTGCCATTCAGAATCCCAAACTCCAATCAACAGCCCAACGTTCACTATGGTAAGTTCAGAGAGAAGAATTTGAGGTTAAAAATATATGAAATTTTACAGAATTTTATACAGACAAGTTTTAGTTTGTGCTAACAGATCAAATATCTTTAAAGATCACTATAATTTGTAATACAGAGTTGACATTTTAGAAACTGTTTAAGTAACAATTTTTCTCATTGTGATCCATACCTCTGTAGATAAAATTCTGCGTACCTTCCTAAACGCAAGTCAGGCACGTTATTATTCCGTCAAGTCATTCAATGAAGATGACCAGTTTTAAACTCAAATAAGGATATTTAGCAGGTTTTATAAAAAGAAATTAAAGTGGTGTGAGATGTATCGTGAGAAATGCAAATTTCTCTTTGGAATACCATATCAATTGGTAAGGTGTAAGATTTGAGGTTTTCACAGCGGTGAGTATGAAGATTTCTATCTTCTGGGTTCTTGCGCTGTGTAGTCTGGTCGATGTTCACCAACGTTTCAGAGGTCATACTGCCTCCGTCATCAGAGTATGAAGATTTCTA